CATGCCATGTGCACCCAAAAATGCTGCAACTTCAAGTCAGTAATATCTTAAAATTGTTTCCTAGCCAGTTATATACAGCTTTGGCATATGTTGTTACCCACAGTAGTTTCTTGTTTGGCAGATGGTTTAATGAAATTATGCAATCAGACTCTCAAAAAGTATGGAGTGAGAGAAAGAATTAAGCAGTGTGTTTGCAAATCACATTAACTTTTCAAATTTTTGTTGAATTTCTTTTACTGTTACCTCAACTGAACACAAATAAACTAGCTTCCTGGAGAAGGAACAAATGGAGGAAAGAATCTGACTTTAGAAGATCACCAGGTCACCTTCACTTGCCACTTAAGACAGAATGCACATTCTCCATCTAATGAAGATGGACAAATACTGTAAGCCCTGTGTGGAGGTGATGGGAACCTCTTATTGTCCATTCTTGTCAGACCATTTTAAAGAAAATTGGTTTGAATTATGTAAAAATGGCTCCGTTGCTTTGTGGTTAACACTGCAATATATTGATCGTTAAGCACTCAGAAAGGCTAGTACATAGTACACATCCTCTCTAGAGAATGAAAGCGGCAACAGTGATTGAGGCTGTTCTGTACATGCTAACCCTCAATGACAGGCTGGAAGATGGTTACGCTCTGAACCAGGACACCAGGGTGGTCACATGTCACATTAAATCCCCTGAGGCTTTCAACTGTGGCACAAAAATCTTTAATCGAACTTATTTCATCTGTCACTTTCTTCTCCAAAGTGTCTTTGTATACACTAGTGACAGCAAGAGCAGGTCAAACTGACTTTCAGGGCCTTGGTCTATGGCCATTATTTCCTTGATGGAAAAAAAAAAAACATTCAAGTTACCAGTTCAGATTATTATTCACTAAGTTAGCTCCTCCTCATACATCAAATGTATGAGTTGTTTTCCTCTCAAGTCATGAAAGTACATATAAAAGATGTGCCATAATTCCAAGATCATAGCTCATGAATCTTAAAATAAAATATGGAAATAGTAGTTTCCACGAACATATTTCATCACTGGTTACCAGGCGTCATATATGGAATAGATTATGTACGGTAATAGTTATTTTTCTGGTTGGAATAGATATCAAATTATGGGCTGTCTCAGGAAGCATGACTGAATCATCTGAATGATTCACCACAATGATTTCAGCATCTAATAGAATAGGTTACACATTACTGTAAGGCTGGATGAAGTCATCTAAAACCACAAAAGATATGACATTCAAGTTAAATATTCATGCTTAGGTTGAAGGCAGAGTCCAACGAGGTGCCTGTGAGAATGAAGAAAAAAATAATTCAAAACATAGAGAAGAAATGAACAGAACAAAGCAAAATAAGGCTGTCACATCTAAATGAAAAAAAAAATAAATAAATAAAAAAACCACAAGACAAAAAAACTACAACAAAACAAACAAAAGTCAAACAAAACAGCACAAAACCACAATGCAACACAAAACAAATCAAAGACACAGTACAAATAAATAAATAAATAAATTCCACATAACCACAATGCAAAACAAAAATCAAAAGCACAGTAAAAAATACAAACTAACAGAAAAAAACAATACAGGACTAAAATTCCACAAATAAGTATAAAATTAGAAAAAGAGAAGGGAAACAAACAAAAAATAAAACTGCTACAAAGCACAGTACAAATAAAATAAGTAAATAAATATATAAATAAATAAGATTATTTAATAAAAATAATTCAAAAAACAAAACCACAGTACTACAGTAAAAACAAAAACAAACAAACTACAGTACAACAAACCAAAACAATGGAAAAGGCTACATGAACAAAAATTAAAACAAACAAAAACAACAGAAAGGCTGGTTTAAGAATTGAAGGACATGCAAATTATACAAATTCTAATTGCATATGAACACACTGTGAATATTTTAACATCCTGAATATTTTCAGCTATCACAATAATGATGATTCAGGACATTTTAACAGTGCCTTTAACAGGAGCTTGCTTGAGACGCTGCTGGATACTACACGACTTTCCCATGAACAACAGTGACTGGGAAACTAGCCCCTAGGGGCTCATGGGCTTGACCCTGCAGCTGAAGAATGTTCTGTAGCAGGATATGGATTATGACAGACGAGCTGCTGCATGTAATAGTTTGTGCGAGAGAACACTAATGTGTATTTGTGTTCATTTTGCAGAAGGTCTGCTTTCAGGGTACGCTCTCTATCCCCGAGTCTTGCTTGTCAGGTCAAAACATCTCCTGTACTCATTCCAAAAATCATCCAGGAAGTTACTCAACAGTCTCAAAAGCCCCATATTCACACAAATCTACATGCTTAAAGAACGCTGCAACGAAACTGCTGGTCTTAAGGGCCCTCTTGACTGGAATGATATCTATAATGTGTTGAGTGTTTGATTGGCTTCCATAAAAAGGCTGGAGCGGAAAAACCCCCAGTAACTAATAGATGGTGTCATGCTGGGACCAGTCTTCATAATGATGGGAAAGGCACTAATGTGTAATTATTCATTTTTAAAGCTACAGTATAATATCAGATTGAAATAGGCTTCGTTTCTCCTTTGTGATGTTTCAGATATAGTCCCTGCCTTTGAAAAAACGTCCGTGGCTTTTCTATAAAAGGACAATTGAGTTCAAATCGAATCAGATGAAAATGCAAATAGTTAAAATCTGGTTTTATTCCCCTAAACACAGTAACACAGAAAAGCAGACAGGACATTTTCTTTTCAAAGCAATCCAAGGATACCAAAATAAACAAGAATTTTGCTTTGCACTCTAGAAAGAAAATGATGAATTTTAATTCTCATTTTGTTGATAAAACAAGCAATTATCTGCAATATTTGCAAGCAGTAATTACCATGCAAGTCCAAAACGAAGACGCATTCAATCAAAAATGTGCAACAATGCTGGTATGTCGAGAACAATAGATTAGAAAGCATCCATCAATAATCCCAGCGATACGTTCACACAATTTGCACATGCCGACCGCTCCGGCACATGCCTGGAGCATTAATCAGCTAAAGTGTGTGATTTGTGATTAAAGGGCCATTTCCCAAAGAATGAGCGGGATACATTCATTAATGGTGACAACCACTGAGAGCATTTGTTCACCTGCTGACTTTAAAAGACCACAGACGATATCCTGCAAGGAAAAAAAAACTGTCCCTTGAGGGGGAAAGAAAAAGTTAATTTCACTGGAAACCTGTTGTCTGCACATTTGTCGCTTTCAAGGACAGATGTTATTTGCGCTCGGTTTAAACTACTCGAACAAATTGAATGAGAAAGACAAAAGCGACGGGTGTGTTTTAGTTTCGCTCAGGTATCATTCATACCAGCGTAAAAGTTATCAGATAGTATAATTAGCGTTGGATTTGCATACATATTAAAGAACAGGAATAGTCCATCTAGAGCATTGCAACTCTTGAAAGAGTAATTGAGTGTGAAAACTCTGAGCTGCTTCCTCTGATGTGTGTGTGTGTGTGTGAATTGATAGAGCTGTACTCACCTTTCTGGCTGGTCAGATAAAAGGTCACAAGTTCACATGTCTTCACAGCACTGATGGAGCTAAAGTTTACACAGATATATCAAGCAGGATCTATAATGATTTATTGAAGAATGAGTATACAGCTCGGTATAGGCCCAACAGAAGCACATCCACTGAAATAGACCGACTGGACCAAATACCACAATAATACATGTTGTCAAGAGGCCTTGACACAGTTGTGTACTGAATATATGTACTTTACATGTTTTTAAAATACAAATATACTTGTTCACACACCATCTGAGAATATAGATATTAGACAAATAAATATACATCTTGATAAGGCTGAAAACACATTCATATATATTGACAATTCAGCAATGATCACACACGAAAGAATTAAAAAGTTTGCCTATAAAATCTCCACAAATTACAGGCTTCGTTTATAACTATCAGAGGATCAAAAGGCCACTAGCACGATCTCTGAATGAAAAATATGTACAATAAATACAAAAGAGACTTGCATACATGTAACAACACGCGCGCACATAGATACAGACTAAAACACTCATGCCTACCCACTTTCACACTGTCTCTAGTGTTATATAAAGATTTAAAGTTAAATATACGACAAAATAAAATTACATAAATACTTTCGCTGTGCAACTGCAATTTTCAATAGACAGCCCCATACAAAATACCAAAATCAGTAACTACGATAGGAAAATGTGACATTACAAGAACTATTGAGTATGGACACCCTCGTGGTGACAACAGCATTATAGTGGCCTGATAGTGTCTTTTGTTGATTTACATTTATTTATTGTAACACCAAGGTTGTCCTCAAGTATAGTTTAAAATACTAATATAGTATGTTCTTCAACAAGACCATCGTACCCAGTGAGATGGATTTACATGTAAACAATATCAACGTGTTGTGTTTGCGCAAGTTGTTGTACCGATAAAACCAATAATGTGACAGGACTAGTCACTTTACAATACAAATTTAAAATGGTTATTTGGCCATTTAAGGTGTGCTATAAAAAGGTTTTCTTAATCAGATTTTTAAATCTTGGTTTTCACTCACAATGTCTGAGCATTCTTAAAAAGATAAATTTACTTGAGAAGCAAAATAAAGAAATAAGAGAATGTTTATTTCATTTTTACACTACTGTTCCAAAGTTTGGGGTCAGTAAGCTTTTACAATGTTTATGAAAGAAGTCTCTTATGCTCATCAAGTATGCATTTTTTGTATCAAAAATACAGTAAAACAGTAATATTGTCCAATGTGTTTTCTATTTTAATATATTTTAAAATGTAACTTATTCCTGTTATGGCTGGATTTTAAGAGCTGAATTTTCAGCAGCCATTACTCCAGTCTTCAGTGTCACATGATCCTTCAGAAATCATTCTAATATGCTTAACATTTTGTGAAAACCATAATACATGTTTTTTTTTCCAGGATTTGATGAATAGAAAGTTCAAAAGCACTTTGTTTTATTTAATATAGAAATCGTGTGTCAGTGAAAATTGCATTCATCAGTTGCATCAGTTTATCCATTTATTTATTTATTCCCCAGATTTACTGTCTGAAAATAATCTCATGCTTCATGTACATTTATCTTGTTTAGGGATGTTTAAATATTTGTACTGGAAAAGAGACAAAAATACCAATTAAGAAAATGCTTCATTGCAGTGTGAGCACTGCAGATATTGCCACACACAAATGCATCACACATACACATTTCGCTTCAGTGCCACTCATTATATATTTACAACACGAGTGAGAGACAGGCACAAGAAGAACCACCGATGGTTGTAAATATGCTTCTGCAGTGTACCAGAGCTGCGAGTCGTGGCGTGACCTGGCAGAGGAGTGGGTGGAGTTCAGTAGCAGTGGCCATCGCTGTCAGACTCTGTTCTGGCTGAACAGCTGAACAGCAACAGGCGCGACAAGAGTTCAGGCCAGGTCGCCACACTGGCACAAAAGGTTAATGTACAGTTTGCAAGTCTGTCTGGCCACAAGCGGGCCATAGACAGCCGCCCAGAGAGCAGACAAATGCCTGCAATATTAAAACAGAGGGATTATTGAAGGAGTCAGCGCTGCCACCTGTCCGAGCAGCGGGATACTCCCTCTCCCTCTTCCTCCGTATTGCTTAGGCGTGAGGAAAGTTGATGTTTTCTCTAAGGATCTTATCAGATATCCTCTTTGTTCCTGATGGGTGATGCAAGGAAGCCTTCGTACAATGCTAAATAAATCCAGAAGTTCTCCAAAGCATCACGGGCGGATGAAACTGAATTTAGAAACGGAAGTTCCTCTGCTCCTGCTGCCGAAACAAAGCATCAGGACTCAGAGTTTGTGTGTCGTTGTGTCAGATCCATGCGGATGGCACTTCACTGAGGAGTTTTTATCAGCTCAGGTGGGATTTGTCTTATTTTATGGTGTAATATCAGCAGAAGGAGTAAAGACGCTGTGGGGTTGAAGGAGGAAAGAGATTGTGAATCGAAGAGCGCTTCACACAGCAGTCACGCTTCAATGAGCGCACATATAAATATCTATTTCATTATGAAAATCATCAGAGAAAATTACAAACGGTTTTCCAAGGAGCCACACGCAGGCCGCGGCCGGCATCTATCTCATCAGGCAAACATTATTTGGCAAAAGGGAAGAGCGCTTGAGTCAGGGCATGTCTGGGCACTCTTATTTGCGGATCACCGGGCCCAGCAGAGGAGCCCCTCAATTGCACATTTGCATTTAGATTTGCACGGTGTGATGGGAGATGAGGCGGTGGGAGGCCCGAGCTCTATTAATAATTCTTCAGCCTTTTTTACAGTCCTGAATCTGATTATGAATGAACCAGAGCTAGAGGAGGGGTACCCTTTCATTTAATGGCAAGGTTCGGAAGTATGTCGAGCCACTAGTGCTGTCCCTAATCACTTTTTCTGCATTTGCCGGGATAAAGCCACTAAATCATTCAAGGAGGGTTGCAAACAGACATCGTGGGGGTTGAGGTCTTGCTAGGTTTTAATGAATACAAATTTTGGGTTATGAATTCAGCGATGCTGAGATTGAATTTAGGAATATTTTACAGCACAATGGTAATGCGGTGAGAATATTAGATGCCTGCTCATTTGAAATTTTAATTTAACTCAAATTTAAAACATGGTCATGCCCTATCCACACACAAAATCTGTTTTGTATTAGAGACAAAACAAAAAAGCCTAATGGACTGTTCAACACGGTATATTTTGCCTTTAAAAATACAGAAAAAACGGAATGGGGAGAAAATTACATTAAATAATTTAATTCAAAATAATTTAAATGTCAAAAGCTAAATGCTCCTTATGGTTTACATTTTATTACCAATAGTCTGTGATTACAGTTTTTTTTAATTATTATTTTTTACTCTACCCAATAAAAAAAAAATGTATGTACATTTTAAAATGTAAAAGTTATATTCATAAAAAAAAATGTAAGTACTTTTTTTTTATTACTGTATTGTATTTGTATTATTTCCATGACTTCCAGGTCTTGAAATCACACTTTTAATATTCCTTGGTTGTTAAAAATGGCCATAGGAAAAAAATAATCTTTCTTTCTTGTTCCTTCTTTTTTTTTGTCCCATCTCCCCTCCCTTGCTGTTTCACTGTTCTCTCTCTCTCTCTCTCTCTTTCACTCTCTCTCCCTACCTTGTTCCCCTCCTTTCTCCTTTTGGCTTGAAATAATGTTTTTTTGACTTGAAAAGGGAAAGACTTGTACAAAGGACTGCCACTGGGTCTGGCAAGCAAGGCTCTGAGAAGTCAACCGACTGAGGCACAGACTTCAGGAGCACTGTGAACATCCTGTACTAGGGTCTATTAAGGAGAGGCTGTGACTAGGTCATAAGCCAATGCCCTAGAAGGGGCCTCCCTAAGACCTAGGATTCAAAGGAAATGGGTTTGAAATAATTCAATCTCCCTCAATTTCTCTTTTCCCCTCTTTCTCTCTCTCCTCATTTTCCTGTCTATCTTTCATTTTTTATTTTCTCTCCCTCCTCATTTTTTCCCCTACTAAAGATAGGGAACTTTTTGTTAATTATTATAATTTTTTTTTTTGTATAAGCTATATTCTCAAGACGGCGGGGGTGACAGCAATGGTAAATAAATGGTAATTAAATGGTAATGGTAATAAAAGA